GAAAATTATTTAAGTGAAGGTATATATCATAAAATAAATTTTCCGAAAAATCTAATAATGAATGCGGAAGGGCAAGTTGTTAATATATTACCTTTAATAAGGGCACGAACGAAAAGATCATGGTTATGCGGTGATTTCTGTAAGATTGATGATCCATATTTAATCTTACGTTATCAAAAATTTCTAGAAATTATTAATGTATGCACTTTAAAATATATACCAAAACTTTTACAATACATTAACAAATGTACATTAAACCTGTCTAATATAAAATTAGGTCATACGCGTACTTGTTATAGTAATCTATTTCTTTGTAAAGCAATGTTTCTTCCGATACAATTACTTTCACCTCATTTTCCCAAAGTAAGAAATGTTAGACGTTTGATATATCAACTGTCACATTTTTATCATAAGATGTTAAGTATAGATTCATCGTTAATTAATACGGATATGCATGCATTAGAAGAAATTGTTATTTCAGCACAACAAAAAGGAGATATATACAAATATCAACGAAATAATATAATGTTAAGTGATGACGATATTATTTCAAAATATTCTCGTGCATTTAATGCATTTACTAAACGTTCAATGGATACACCACGTTATATTTGCGTTTCATGCGAAAAATTTTGTTATAAAAGAAATATTCATGATATTAACAAGTTTCGAATACCAATAGACAACAAAATTTGGACAGATTTAATGTTGCACGTGCAACGACAGACAGTTACTTCGCAGTATATATGTCGTTATTGTTTAAGCAAAATTCGTGACGGTCTAATGCCTGCCCGCTGTGTTTTGAATAATCTTTTCACAGGTAATATTCCTAAAGTAATTTTATCTCTTAACACGTTCGAAAAACTTATCATATAGAGAGCTAAAGCTTTCCAAACTGTTCTTAAAATGGATGCTGTTCTTAATAAAAAGCTACCTCAAAGACAAATGGTACAAAAAGTCAAAAGTAGGACATTTCATTTGCCGCTTCCTTTACAGGAAACATTGAATAAAATTTGTTCTGATATTGATCCTATAAATTTTAACCATGAATTATATATTTTAATTAGAGGTGTTCCTACGAAATCTAAAATTGTCTGGGAAGAAATAGTGGACGTTAAAAAAGTTTTTGACGCTTTAACTTGGTTAAAAGAAAACAATCCTTTGTATTCTCATATTGTGTTGCCAAATACACATCATGAATTTTGTTTAGATAAATTACATAATTCAGAGTTTGAAATACAAGAAATAAAACATGATACACAAGTTGTGCCGGATGATAATGTACTGCATGATGAACGTAAGCCAATGTTAACTCAGGTTACTGATGAAAATGATACTTACTACGAACAATATACTATATATCCCTTATATGAAAAAAGAACTAACCAAACGGCGACAACTTTATATCAAATGTTACAAATTAAAGATTTACCTTTAGATAATCGTGAAAAATATTTAGATTTATTGTGTTTCCCTGACTTATATCCCTTTGGTATTAATGGACAGCATGAAGATAGACAAGTCAAACTTCATGATCATGAATTTATTAAATCTCGTTTACTTTCAAAACATTCGCACTACCGATTAAATCAACAATACTTATTCTTTTTGTTAAATAATGCGAACATACGTCAATTAAGCCGTGGAATTTATCATAAAATGAATATTACTAATCCACGGGATCATTATACAGCTGGAGAATATTTAGAAGCATTATCGAAAGAATTGTTAGAATCTAATTTAAATACAATATTTTCGACACTTCGGAATACGGAACAATATTGGCATAGACCGAGAAGTGATTTAAACTGTATGACGCAACATTATGGACCTGCGACATGGTTTTTAACGTTAAGTCCGAGTGAATGGCTGTGGGAAGATTTAGCTGAATATATTCGGGAAATAAATGGATGGGCTGACGATTCCTCATGCATCAGTGTACTTGTTGCTAGAGATCCTATATCGACATCAAGGTTTCTTGACAATAAATTTCGAGCAATGCTTGATTTTATTTCTTCATCAGATAATCCGATTGGAGAAGTTACGCATTATTTCTGGAGACGAGAATATCAAGGTAGAGGCATACAACATTTTCATTTGTTAATTTGGATAAAAAATGCACCCATTCTTGGTGAATTTTCTAACGAAGAAGTTTCTAAATTTATCTTACAATATATAAGTTGTAAAATGCCAAACCGAAATGTCGCACCGTTATTATATAAGCGTGTCAACACGCATCAGCGACATAAACATAATGATTATTGTCTTCGTTCTAAAAAAGTTGGACGTAAAATGATTCGTAGGTGTCGTTTTGGGTTTCCTCGCCCCACCACTGATAAATTAATTATGAAAGATGTTGCAAGTTCAATAGCAGGTAGGAAAAAATTGAAGAATAGAAGCAGGCTTTATGATCTCCCTCGAATGGACGATGAGGTGAATATAAATGATTATAATCCTGTCCTTCTTACTGCATGGGAAGGAAATATGGATATACAATTTATTGGAGAAAAGTCGTCACTGCTAACTTGGTATGTCACTAAATATCTTAATAAAGCAGGAAAAAGTGAATTGTCCGATGATATTGTTCTTAATAGTAAAAACAATACAAATAAATCGTTGGCAAGTTTTCTTTGGAATATTGCACTGCGATTCACAAATAATAGAGAATGTGGAGCTCTTGAAGCTGCCGATACTTTGTTAAGTATTCCTTTATACGGAACTGATCCAAACACGACAATTAAATGGTTAGATGTTAATAAGATTCGACATAGAAAATTGAAGAGTCGAATTGAAATTGAAGCTCTTGATAAGGAGTCAACGGATATATTTTGTCCATCTTTGGTGGATGATTATTATCCAAATAGACCCAAAGAATTAGAGTATATATCTCTATATGAATTTGCACAATGGTATGATACAACAAAAATTAAGCCACGTAACGAGTTGGTCGAGTATTATAAAATAGGTAATAGTTACTATTTGAAACGACGACAATGTGGATATCTTATTAATCATTATAAATATGATGTTTATATCCGACCAGAAGATTATTTCTTTTCATTATTATTAATGTTTGAACCTTGGAGAAAATTAGAGGATCTTCAAAATGGGTTTCAAACTTATACTGAATCGTTTCAACACGTGAAATTACATCTTACAGAAGCATTGCAATATCACGAAAGATTAGAAGAATTACAAAAAGCATTTGAAACTGCAAAACAATTAGTACAGCAATGTTTGGATGATGATGCGCGAGAGCACGTATCTCAGGATGATCCTGAAAATCCTATAGGTGTTCAGAATATAGAAGCTGGTGAAGCGATGCAAGATTTTAGAGATCTTGGTGATAAATTGGCTAAAAAAATTAATGTACCTGAAATGATAAAAAAATTGAATATCGATCAAAAAAGAGTGTTTGATAAAGTAATTAATACTGTTACATCGGATAGATTATTACGGTTATATGTTAGTGGAGAAGGTGGTACTGGAAAAAGTTTCTTAATAAAAACCATTAAATGTTGGGTAAGAGAAAATCTTAATAAAGATACTGCTGTAGCGGCACCTACTGGTATAGCAGCGTTTAATATTGATGGTTTGACTATTCATAGATTGCTTCAATTACCTGTTGAACATGGTAATACTCCAAAATATAAACGACTATCCGATCATGTACTGAAAGTTTTAAGAGCAGATCTCAAAGATGTTGTACTTTTTATAATTGATGAAATTTCAATGGTATCCAATTTATCTTTAATATATATACATTTGCGGTTATCTGAAATATTTGATACTAGTGATTGTGACGATGGTTGGTTTGGACGAAAACACATTCTTTTATTTGGAGATCTACTTCAATTACCATCTGTACATGAGGATCATGTTTTTTTTACAACTGTCTGATAAAAAAGTTAATAAATACCTCGGTTCTTTAGGGACTATTAATTTATGGTCTATGTTATTTGACTATGATGAATTAACAATTAATATGCGTCAACAAGGAGATACATCTTACCGTGATTTATTATCCAGAATTCGAATTGGTTTATTAACAAAATCTGATTCTGAGATTCTGGAAAATAGAAAAATTTTTTTTAATAATGTTTCATTTGAGTCTAGATTAAATAAACTATGTGATTTTATTAATGATTTGCCACCGGACACTGTTTGTTTGTTACCTACTTGTCATATGTGCGATGTTCTGAATGTTGCAATGTTGAGTCGTATACCATCAAAAGAAATTTTATTAATTGCTGAAGATATTATTGAATGTATATCGTATGTGAAAAAGAAAGTATTAAAAATGTTATCAGATAGTGATGATGATAATTCTAGAACAGCTGGGCTTTCAAAGCAAATCATTATCAAAGTTGGAGCAAAAGTTATGATAAGACGTAATATTGATGCTAGTTTGGGTCTTGTTAATGGTACAATTGGTACTGTTATTTCAGTTGTAGAGGATATGTCTACTAACCAAATAGAAAAGATTAAACTTCTTTTACCATCAGGTATGGAGTATCTTATAGAAAGAGTAAGCGTAAAGTTTGAAGTGATGGATAGAGCTTATGTTATTAGGAAACAATTTCCTTTATCTTTAAGTTACGGAATTACTATTCATAAAAGTCAAGGGCTGAGTTTGCAAAATGCTGTCATAGATATAGGTAACTCTGTATTTAACTGTGGCCAAGTATATGTTGCATTATCCCGAGTAACTTCAATAGAAGGATTGCATCTGATTAATTACGATCCTTTATCAGTAAAAGCTAGTGAGGAGGCTATTATTGAATATAATCGCTTAAAAAAGAAGATACATAAAGTAGAAACAGCCATGATTACAATTTCAAAGAAAAAACATCGTAAAGTGAAAGATGTTTTGTGGACTTTACCAAAGGAGGTTTATCGTGTTCAAGAACCATGTCAAGAAACGCCACAGAATATTGCGTGGGTTATAAATGGTTTTCAAAATACAGATAAGCG